AATGTATAATATTTGTACTCTTTTGTGTAGTGTGTTCTTCTTATTTCTATTTCTCCTGTGTTTTTGTTCCACTTTACTATATTTTATAGTACCACTGATATTGATTACTGCATTGTTGGGACAGAGCTTGCAAGAACGGCATTTCACTGTACTTGTGCACGTGACAAAAACATGACATTTGAAACTACTTTAGATGCATGTCGGTCAACCTGTTCTTTGAAGAGAGGACCTGGAACAATCTCTACACCTTCTGAGTTCCTTGACATCCATGGCCGCCACTCACTCCCTTCTGTCGTGCATTTTGCATCTCTTCAGAGGAAGGCAGCCAAAGCAGGAGGCTGCTGGAGGCCATCCTACTCTTCACCTCTGACCCTACTCTCTCGCCTCTCTGGTTATGTCACCCTCATTGACGTAATTGAGTCATGAAGCTAACGGCTCAGTCGGTGTGGCGACAATGAAATTAATACGCCATGTTCAGATCTAGCGATTGCATTTTTTCCTCCATACTGGGAAACGGGACCGTTTGGCCAATCAGTCAAATGCAGTGAAAGCGCTGTCAATCGTAAAAAGCCATTATTGTGACATGATGGATTCTGAAGCACAAGAGCCCATTAACAACTTTAATGAATAGATTAGCCGGAGGAGCAGCCATGTAGCTCAGGAACAACACTTGACCACTCGCCACCCACCTAACTCTTGCGACACCAACTCATAGCATTAGATCTCAGTAGGCTTGTATGCTAACCGAGACAGTCGTTATGAGGACATCGACTGTTAACTTGGTTTGTGAATCCCTGGGCTGGTATTCATAAAGTGTCTCAGAGTAGAATAGCTTATCTAGGATCAGGCACCGATATACAGTGCCTTCAGAAAGTATTCATACCCCTTGACTTATTCCACATTTTGTTGTGTTACAGCCTGAATTCAAAATTGATTAAAGGGATTGTTTTTACCCGGTAATGACAAAGTGAAAACATACCCAGTCCTTAACGATTACAAGCATACCCATAACATGATGCAGCCACCACTATGCTTGAAAATATGGAGAGTGGTACTCAGTAATATGTTGAATTGGATTTGCACCAAACATAACACTTTGTATTCAGGACAAAAAGTGAATTGCTTTGCCACATTTTTTGCATTATTACTTTAGTGCCTTGTTGCAAACATGATGCATGTTTTGGAATATTTTTATTCTCTACAGGCTTCCTTCTTTTCACTCTGTCAGTTAGGTTAGTATTATGGAGTAACTACAATGTTGTTGATCCATTCTCAGTTTTCTCCTATCACAGCCATTAAATTCTGTAACTGTTTTTTAAAGTTACCATTGGCAAATTTGGCATCATGGTGAAATCCCTGAGCGGTTTCATTCCTCTCTGGCAACTGAGTTAGTAAGGGCGCCTGTATCTTTGTAGTGACTGGGTGTATTGGTACACCATTCAAGGTATAATTAATAAGTTCACCATGCTCAAAGGGATATTCAGTGTCTGCTTTTAAAAAATGTTCCCCCTCTACCAATAGGAGACCTTCTTTGCGAGGCATTGGAAAACCTTCCTGGTCTTTGTGGTTCAATCTGTGTTGGAAATTCACTGCTTACAGATAACTGTATATGTGGGGTACAGAGATGAGGTAGTCATTCAAAAACCATGTTAAACACTATTAATGAACACAGTGAGTCCATACAACTTATTATGTGACTTGTTAAAGCACATTTTTACTCCTGAACTTATTTAGGCTTGCCATAATAAAGGGGTTGAATACTTATTGACTCAAGACATTTCAGCTTTTCATTTTTAATTAATTTCTAAAAACATAAATCCACTTTGACATTATGGGGTATTTGTGTGTAGGCCAGTGACACAAAATCTCAATTTAATTCATTTTAAATTCAGGCTGTAACACAATATAATGTGAAAATTGTCAAGGGGTGTGAATACTTTCTAAAGGCACTGTATCCATGTAATCTTATTAATTATGATCTAAAAGGCCAAACTGATCCCAGCAGTCCTACTCTGTGAGCCTATGCGTGTGGTGCTGCTGCTGTTCCAGTTCATGTGCTTGTCATTTCTACAGCTTATGAGAACTGCGTTCCATTTGAGGACGGAAGCAAGTCCTTGTGAGAGCAGATTAAAGGCTGAGATTTCAATCAACTGCAGAAAGTGGATTTCTGCACGGCGCTATGGAAATCAAGTGTCATCTCCCTCCATAACAGACATGCTGCTGTGCAACTCCAACACAATTTTGAAAGCACAGAGTAGGAATCTGCTCTATGAATCCTGGCCTGAAGTCTTACTATCTACCAGGTATCAAAAGTACAATGCAATATAGTGAAAAAGTAGTCTCCAAATGCTTCAATCAGATGCAATGTCAGAGTGTTCATTTGCTAAGTGTTCCGGCTGTTAAATGTCCTATAGTAAATTCATGAGTTCAATCAAAAGTGTCCCAAGTGCAAAGAAAATACTTGTGATCATGGTTAAGCTCTTGATGTCATGGATTGTATTTTCCCAGGTCTGTTCCCACAATATTGATCGACAACTATCCCTGTCCTGGTTTGCTCTCCTGCTCAGTCCTCTGCGATGGGACACAGACCCACTGTGTCAGAATGAATCCTTCAGTCTGTCCCGGATTACATTATATGCTCAATGAAGGGTATGAAACAATCACTAAGTCCTCATATACCTTGAATGTACCTTGAATATACCTTGAATGTCTTGTCTAAATCTTATTAATCATTCATGTTTTTTAATCATCTGTGTTCTATAAATGTGTACATAGAACATTAATCTCAAACCTGTCAAACAGACATTGGTAGTGATTAAAATCAGTTATTGGGTGTCAAATCAATTAGTGCACTATGCTGTGAAGGCACTCAACATGTACTGGCTAAAGAGAGAAATACCATGCGCATCGGGATAGACTATGATATTAGAGGTGCGCTAATCTCTGCATCGGGATAGACTATGATATTAGAGGTGCGCTAATCTCTGCATCGGGATAGACTATGATATTAGAGGTGCGCTAATCTCTCGTGGACAGACTACATATCGAGCATCAAATAAATAAAAATTATTTGTCACATGCTTCGTAGACAACAGGTGCAGACTAACAGTGAAATGCTTATGGGCCCTTACCAACAATGCAGAGCATCTTGACGCAATTACGATTTTAGTTCTAGGTTTCTGAGATTATAGCTGCGCTAAAGTTCAAAATAGTGTTTGTATTTTTTTAATATTGCAAAATTCTGGTATCTTTCCCAAAATTCCCAGGTTTTTCCAGAAATCCTGGTTGGAGGATTCTGTCACGTCCTGGCTCTGGGGACACTGTTATGTTGAGCCAGGGTGTGTTAATCTATGTGTTGTGTTTCTATGTCGGGGTTCTAGGTATTGTATTTCTGTGTTGGCCAGAGTGGTTCCCAATCAGAGGCAACGAGTGTCAGCTGTGGCTGGTTGTCTCTGATTGGGAGCCATACTTATAGTGGCTATTTTCCCACATTTGTTGTGGGATCTTGTTTCGAGTTGGTTTGTGTTAGACCGTGAACTGTCACGTTATCGTTTTGGTTATTTTGTCAATATATCGCTAAATAAAGAGTATGTTCGCCTGCAACGCTGCGCCTTGGTCCTCTTCTGTATACGACGATCGTGACAGATTCCCGGATTTTCGGCTTATTCCCTGCTGATTCCAAGAATTTTCCAACTGGGATTTGCAACCCTATTTATAACACAGTATTATTGTTGATGAGTTAAACTATAGTGAGTCTGAGGAAAATATAAGATACTGTGCTTCACAGCAAATTGACTAAGGACACATTCCTGAGGATTCTCATTTCATACCCAACCCATAAAGGCTGAAAGACCAGTTCATACAGTGAGGGAAAAAAGTATTTGATCCCCTGCTGATTTTGTACATTTGCCCACTGACAAAGAAATGATCAGTCTATCATTTTAATGGTAGGTTTATTTGAACAGTGAGAGACAGATTAACAACAACAATATCCAGAAAAACGCATTTTAATGAGGGAAATAAGTATTTGACCCCCTCTCAATCAGAAAGATTTCTGGCTCCCAGGTGTCTGTTATACAGGTAACGAGCTGAGATTAGGAGCACACTCTTAAAGGGAGTGCTCCTAATCTCAGTTTGTTACCTGTATAAAAGAGACCTGTCCACAGAAGCAATCAATCAATCAGATTCCAAACTCTCCACCATGGCCAAGACCAAAGAGCTCTCCAAGGATGTCAGGGACAAGATTGTAGACCTACACAAGGCTGGAATGGGCTACAAGACCATCACCAAGCAGCTTGGTGAGAAGGTGACAACAGTTGGTGCGATTATTCACAAATGGAAGAAACACAAAATAACTGTCAATCTCCCTCGGCCTGGGGCTCCATGCAAGATCTCACCTCGTTTTGAATTAACTTTGTCATACGGTATGGAGAGAATGATCAAGACTTCTACATTAACTTGGGAGAGTTGCGTTTTGTCTGTCAGTGCTTGTTGTGTGATTATTTTGTTCGAAAAGCCAAGAACCTTTATGTGAAGAAAGCACAAAGAAGTAGGTGCTACATTAGGCAGGGACATCTATAAGATGATTTGATATGAGAATGATGACGGCTCAATGAGAAAAGCTTCTATTTATCTGAGGATAACACTCCACCTTCCCCTCTCACCAGTGATATGAGTAACCTTTCCAGGAAATTACAGTTGTGATAAACATCCTCGCTGTCACACATGAAAAGCACCTGAGGGCTTGAAACACTTGTTTGGAGTAATTCACTCTGACACGTCAAAAGACCTCCCTAGATCATCCTGCCCTTGATGTAACGGAGTCCTGCCGTGGAATCTTGCTTGATGGACCCCTCCGAGACCACCCGTTGATTTCCGATTAGACCGCACACTCACAACATGGCTGACAGGCAAAAGGGGGAGGAGGCGGGGACTACCCATAAGGGGATAGCTTGGACTTTCTCCTCAGCCATGGTCACCCTCTCCTCCTCTCTCTAAAGGTTGGATGGACACTGAAGGACCAGAGGCCAGAGCCTGCCAGTCACACCTGTCAGATCAGAACCAGAGCAGCATGGTACGATAGCACATCAAAACACACATTATGTCCCAGCATTCGAGTGTCCCACATAACACCACACATCATGCACAGAAGAGCCATCACAGCTTTCAGTCAGAACCTCAAAGGCCTGATGATTCAGAGGAGAGCCAACATGGCTGTTTATCTACATACATGAATCTAAATCAGGCATTGTACAATGTATTGATTAGATCAAATTACTAATTATAGATCACCACTGAGCCACAAAGGGGCAGTTAAAGAGCCTCAATGTGGCTCTGGACCTGCAGGTTCCAGACCCCTATACTAAGACAATCTGTACTGAGACAATCTGTACTGAAGTCCATATAGTGCATAGACATCAAAGTAAAATGTTATTGATTACATGATTCCCAGCTCGAAATGTATTATGGGGCTTGAAAATTGTGAAATTGAAAATGTTTGGAAATGATCTACAGTAGTGATGTTTTAGGGGAAACCAGAAAACATCAGATAAGGAGGCATATTTTTCTCATGAGGAAGCATTTGTCTCATGGAAAACGAGACATGAGAACGAATGAGGAGCGCTGTGTGAGGAGAGGGACTATATATCTAGGAGGCTGGACATTTTAACCCTGGTGTCTTCACTCAAACAGTCAACTTCCGTCATTGCTGCATGCGTTTCTCTAGTCTAGGCGATCAAGCTGTATAATTGTGTGACACAGCATATGAGGTTCGCCACTTATTGGCTAGCTATTGTTAGATCCAAAGGCTGAGTGAAGAGGCAATCTATCTGGCTCTGATATTAGTAAGTGCTCCACAATGTGCTCTTCCTGGTTTGAGACAGAAGAAGCCTTTTCAGCCATTTACCGCCAAAATGCTGTGTAAGCTCTTTGGGAAAACGCAAGGAAACGGATGGCAAGATTCTGCATGACTCTCAACCCCCACCCCCCCACACCCGCTGCTGCGTGTCCTGGCATTTGGTGGGAAATGTAAAAGTCAATGAATATGTATACATACTCATAAAACCTATTGAGGGGGGCTTTCCGTTCATTCCGTGTGCTGTTGTTGACCCTTGACCCGCTCCGTGGTACCTGCCAGCTTAATGCACACTTGGCAGACCGGCCCATTAGTCCAGTTGATTCCCAGGCTAAACACATCGCTGGCCTATTTTAAGCAACAGTGGTGCGAGATGGGGACATATTTAGACACATTTAGTCACTCCAGATACTCAAGCAATCCCATATCTGGAGGCACGTACAGGTACACCATTGACGCTGAAGTCATCATCTCTCACTCCAGTGAGTCGCTGGGAGGACTAAGATGCACCTCTGAAGTCCAAGTCATGAAAATGCTTGACTTTGTCTGTGATGACAATGACCTTAGTGATGAGGGTCAAAGGGCCTGAACCCCAAAAGGTTCAAAAACATATTCAAACCAATTTTTTGAGACAATTTTTAGGGATTTGTGGTAACACACACTGTTGTGCCATTGACTGAGATAGCTAAGCACAGTTGACAATGAACTGACATATTTATTTTCCGAGACTTGGTCTGGGTGAGCAGCCTTGCTTACGTCTTCCCATAACGCTACACCTTTAAACACCTCCGCCCTCCTCCTCTTCCTTCCCTGCGTGTGAGGACCGGCAGCGTAGCTTGGACCCGTCACAGAGTGACTCAGGCCACTCTTCCATTTGAAAAATTAAAAGGGGGCCATTTGGCAGAGTTAAATGAAGCCCTGGTGAAATATGCTGAGCTCAGCACAGCTCCTAGAAGCTCAATCACAAAGGAGGCACGCTGATGTAATGGCCGCCACTGCATCTGCCTTGGCAGGGGAGGAGGGCTCGTCAGCACAGCTCCTTTAATTAATCTCCCCCAGATCAAGGGTACATCAGATATCATTAACAGAGTCTAGGCTCTCAGTGTCCAGCCGTTTCAACCAAAAAAAAACAGGGGTGAGCAGAGAGAGAGAGAAAGAGAAAGAGAGAGAGAGAGAGATTCAAAGAGTGATCAAATAAACCCTGCATCCATGTGCCTGTTCATGTTGTATACCACACTCACCTGTGTTCACTGCTGTTATAATAGGCTTACAGAGCACGTGTCATGACCATGATGTTCATGTTGCACATTGTGATTCAAAAGTAGCCTATACTGTTGTTAGGCCTATCCCTGCTTTGATTGGAGTGATGCAAGTTCATTTTGGTGTAGTTAGTTTTCCTTCAAGAGTCATTTTGTCTATTCAGAATCCAAAATATCCAGGTTTAATTTGATGGCAGCTCAACAATATTGAATTGACAATACCTATTTTTTGTAGCTCTGACTGACCCAGCAGGCCTTAGTGATAAAACACCTTTCAAAGGAATTCTGTACAGTCGTGGTCAAAAGTTTTGAGAATGACACAAGTATTGGTCTTCACAAAGTTTGCTGCTTCAGCGTTTTTAGATATTTTTGTCAGATGTTACTATGGTATACTGAAGTATAATTACAAACATTCCATAAGTGTCAAAGGCTTTTATTGACAATTACATTAAGTTTATGCAAAGAGTCAATATTTGACCCTTCTTTTTCAAGACCTCTGCAATCCGCCCTGGCATGCTGTCCCAAAATGTCGATGTTTTGTTCCCCGAGCCACTTAGTTATCACTTTTGCCTTTTGGCAAGGTGCTCCATCATGCTGGAAAAGGCATTGTTCGTCACCAAACTGTTCTTGGATGGTTCGGAGAAGTTGCTCTCGGAGGATGTGTTGGTACCATTCTTTATTCATGGCTGTGTTCTTAGGCAAAATTGTGAGTGAGCCCACTCCCTTGGCTGAGAAGCAACCCCACACATGAATGGTCTCAGGATGCTTTACTGTTGGCATGACACAGGACTAATGGTAGCGCTCACCTTGTCTTCTCCGGACAAGCTTTTTTCCGGATGCCCCAAACAATCGGAAAGGGGATTCATCAGAGAAAATGACTTTACCCCAGTCCTCAGCAGTCCAATCCCTGTACCTTTTGCAGAATATCAGTCTGTCCCTGATGTTTTTCCTGGTGAGAAGTGGCTTCCTCGCTGCCCTTCTTGACACCAGGCCATCCTAAAAAAATATTGTGCAGATGCACTCACACCTGCCTGCTGCCATTCCTGAGCAAGCTCTGCACTGGTGGTGCCCTGATCCCGCAGCTGAATCAACTTTAGGAGACGGTCCTGGCGTTTGCTGGACTTTCTTGGGCGCCCTGAAGCCTTCTTCACCACAATTGAACCTCTCTCTTTGAAGTTCTTGATGATCCGATAAATGGTTGATTTAGGTGCAATCTTACTAGCAGCAATATCCTTGCCTGCACGTGTTTCCTTGCAGGTAACCATGGTTAACAGAGGAAGAACAATGATTTCAAGCACCACCCTCCTTTTAAAGCTTCCAGTCTGTTATTCTAACACAATCAGCATGATAGAGTGATCTCCAGCCTTGTCCTCGTCAACACTCTCACCTGTGTTAACGAGATAATCACTGAAATGATGTCAGCTGGTCCTTTTGTGGCAGGGCTGAAATGCAGTGGAAATGTTTTTTGGGGATTAAGTTCATTTTCATGGCAACGAGGGACTTTGCAATTAATTGCAATTCATCTGATCACTCTTCATAACATTCTGGAGTATATGCAAATTGCCATCATAAAAACTGAGGCAGCAGACTTTGTGATAATTCATATTTGTGTCATTCTCAAAACTTTTGACCACGACTGTATTTCATACAAAGCATCTCTTGCAGACCTGTCCTGACTTGAAATATCGCTATTTCAAGTCAGGACAGGTCTGCAAGATAGAGGAAAAACATGACTACCTGACCTATGCCATAAAGTCCCCTATACAGAGACTGTAGTATACTTCATAAAATAAGAAAGACAATGTATAGCGTAATGAATCCTATTGACGATTTCCACCAGGAAGTAACTGTCAAAGCCAACCAGTCAAAGAAAAAAAAAGTGGACACACACACACACACACACACACACACAGTATCAGTTTACTGTGTCAACTTCCAATTTACTGCTGCCATCCAGTGCTCATCGAGGCACACTGCAATTATGTCTGTCATTGCAGAAAAATAAATGTTATAACAAAACGTTGTTTGCTTTTATTACTGCAAGTATGTTATTCCAGTTATTGTAACGTTCTGAGGACCATACATTTCAAATCAACTTTCTGGAATGGATTTTTAACATTAATAAAAATCTAAATTCATTTTCAGAATTGACAGGAATCATTTGAATTAAACAGTAAAATTGCAAGTCTTTGGTCAACTAAAAACTATTAACGTTTTCAATCTTTGATTATATTTCGAATTTTAATCGACTGGATGGACATCTGAGATCTACTGCTTTGCCTTACGTCACAGATTTAGGAAAATAAATCAATCCAGAGTCACAGTTCACCAGGCAACAGCAGAGATGGTAAGAATGAATAAAACATGGCTTTTGTTTGATGTTTCTAAGCGCGAATGTTGCTTAAGTAATACAATTCATTCCATGGCAAAGGTGTTTGATAATTAATGTAAAATGTAAAATTAAGGATTCTAGCTAGAGCATATAGCTAGCTATCACTCGTTGAAAGGATAGTAAACTAGCTAGCCTAGCTTAGCACAAGTCTATGAGCACAACAGAGGAAACGAGTGCACTGTGAGTAAGCATAAAATATAGCATGGAATCTGGAAGTTTATGATTATGCACGAGCTAGATAGTTACCTACTGTCTTAATGGCTAACTATATCAATAAGATTAAATACAAACGTTCCAGCATAGCTAGCTAGCTACAGTAACAAAACTAGTAACATAACTAACTAGTTAGCTAACTTTAGATGGCTAGTTAGCTACCTAGCTGTGTTAGCTAGCTAACGTTAGCCAGCGTAATGTTGATTGTTTCACTTTCGTTTTTTGACTGGCAAAAAAATTACCCAACTTTAACGAATGCGATTGTTCTTTGCAGTCAAAGGCAGATTTAAATTGCATGGCTGTTCTAGGTGCTGTCTTCCAAATGCTTGCTGCTTGAACAAATGTAGCTAGTTGTTATACCTACCTCTGAAACGTTCAAACGTGTTTGACGTCATGAGAGGTGCACACATAGAGATCCTATTCTAATTACTAATTCTGTGGGTGCACTCCCATGCCAGGTGACTGTAAACAAAGCCACAAGGTTGCTTCCTAGTTGGTGCTATAATTTATTTATAGCAATGCAATACCTTAGTCTAGAATACTCTAGGGTGACAAACACATTCTGTGTCGTGGTGTTTTTTTTGGTAGATAACTCATCGCAATGCAAGATAACTACGTAAGTAAAACATGTAATGTGTATTTCCTGACAAATATACCGTGAAAACATTGACACTACTGCATTTTTTTCTACTTCTCTGTAGTTCCGTAACCAGTACGACAACGATGTCACAGTATGGAGTCCTCAGGTAAGGGCCATGTTGCCTTACGAGAAAGCGACCTTATAAGGTACTCACTATACAATTAACATAACTCAACCTCCTCAGGTACTCACTATTGCATAAACATAACTCAACGGACATTCAAATTATTCTAAATGTTTGGGTAATGAGGTTCCCTGCAGTGTCTCCCAAATAAGGTAACATTATCAATGCACTTGTTTCAGGGGCGCATTCACCAGATCGAATACGCCATGGAGGCGGTGAAACAAGGTTCGGCTACAGTGGGGCTCAAGTCCAGAACCCATGCAGTCCTGGTTGCTCTCAAGGTATTTCCCAGTAACATCCCAGTTTTATTCTACACTGTGACAGCTTTATTTTGTCAAGAGTTACAAAGGAGCTACACTGAGACGTCAGGAAAAAAGTAGTTTTTTTTTTTAACCTGCTACACTGGATGTGGACATGAGCCACACGTCGCAATCTTGAAAATAGAACCAGAGGGCGATTTTATGCTGAGTAGCACAGAGCCGGAGCTCTTACGCCCATGTTTAATTTAAATTAATAGGACCGTTTCACCCTCAGCAAAAGTTACATCCTCCGGTGTGCCAGGCCAGTTAAGATACCCTGAGATTAAATAAAAATGTGGCTGTCCCACAGTTGTACTACATGTAGTACCTACTTTTGACTGAGGTACTTTCCACACTTGCAGTGATTATCAATGGGCTGTTGCGTGACACTGGTCAGAGCATATGAGCGGAGTGGAGCGGGAGCGAGCGTGGAGCGTGAGCGGACGGATTTTGAACAGAGCGCAGAGCGGCATTTTTAAAAGGACGGAGCGTCGCCCTATGTCCCGCTCCAATTTCGCTCGCTCACACCAAGAGTCTGAAGCATGCTCAAGCCTGACCCAGAATCCATCTGTTTAATTTAATGTGTCGTCCAATAATTTTTATTTTATAGAGCGAGGAGCAGCAGCAGCAACAAGAGAAAAGCGTTGAGGAATTCAAAAGTTTATTCACTGCAGGCAAAGGCCCAACCATAACAAGGGAGAGAAAAAGAGAGCTGGATGTAGCATTTTAAAAAATGATTTTCATGGACTATGAACCGCTGAGTAAAGGAGAACGCGAAGGGATGCAACACTTCGCCAGCGCAGCTCAACCGGGCTACACCCCCCCCCCCCCAAGAAACTATGATAAATCAGTACTTTACTTTGTCAAATTTACATCTGAGATGCCCCATTCACATGCTTCAGCTGGCGATCAAAAACGCCGTTAACGAGCACGACAACATTAATAGGCTGTTAGTGAAAGTCGGGCACCTGGTGAAAAGTGTACGCAAGAGCACAGAGGAAACCGACCAATTAGGTGTCCGCCCCACAAATGCCTGCGCCATTCGATGGAGCAGCCAGCTGCGGATGATTCAGTCGTTCATCCGGTTGTTCCAAAAAGACCCGTTATGGCAAAACAAACTCAAGTCTAATGTTGCTAACATCACCCTGAATCAAGTACCGCAGCTGACGCACCTTGTCCGTGTGCTGACACCACTAGCAGACCTCACAGAAAAAATGCAGAAGGAGCTGGGGAAGATCCTCCCTGCTGTCACAGAAATCAAATCCCTGCTCACCGATTACACTCACGCTGCACTTCCAATGGGCATCGCTGCTTTTGCAGAAACATTGGCAAACAACGTGTCAATTCGCTATGGAATATACTATACTGATTAACATCTCATTTTAGCGTCAGTGTTAGATCTCCGTTTCAAGACAGAATGGATAATCCGAGATTAGTCTGTATGCAACAAATTCGGGGAGATAAAGTAAGGCTGTGGTTTAAGCTAAAAGTGAAATACATGCAGATTTCGTTCCTTTTTTGGAGTGAGCGGGGGCGATTTGAGTGGAGCGCGATGCAAACTGCGTTGAGCGCTGAGCGATAATGAGCGGACTGGCCTGATGTGGCTTTGAGCGGGGGGAGCGGAGGGGTGAACAACTCCGTGAGCGAGGAGCTGAGATTCTCACCGCTCCACTCCGCTCATATGCTCTGACACTGGTGTATGTGTTTCTCCACAGAGAGCCCAGTCTGAGCTGGCTGCTCACCAGAAGAAGATCCTCCATGTTGATGAGCACGTTGGCATCTCTATTGCCGGGCTGACTGCAGATGCCAGGCTCCTCTGGTACGACACACACACATCTTGTGTCTAGTTGTAGAAATACAATTTAGGAGAAACCATGACTTTGTATGCAAAGTGTATCCACTGTAATCTGTGTCAAGATTTCCCCTTCTATCTTCCTCAACAGTAACTTCATGAGGCAGGAATGCCTGGACTCCAGGTTCGTGTTTGACAGGCCTCTCCCAGTGTCGCGCCTCGTCACTCTCATTGGAAGTAGTATCCTTTCAGTCATGTTTTCACATTTTTACCTCTAGAAGCCTGCACCACGGGGGGGAGGGGGGGGTTGATATTCCAATCAATGTTTCAATGTCAAAATGTACACTTTGGGCTTTCATGAGTTAAGCGGTGAGGTCAGGTTTGGGAATTGGCGTGGTGTGCTTTAGACTGTTAACAATGTAACCCTTGACCAGTCCCTCAGAAACCCAAATCCCCACACAGAGGTATGGAAGAAGACCCTATGGTGTGGGACTGCTTATCGCTGGCTACGACGTAAGTTCTCTTTGTCATCTGTAGATAGAAACTAGTTATGCTGATCAAGGGGGTGTAACACTGTATAAGTAGTGTGATTCTTAAAGCAATAATAATTAGTGATGTGGAGCATCTGTTATTTTCTCCATTTGATCTCTTCTTGTAGGACATGGGGCCTCATATCTTCCAGACCTGCCCCTCTGCAAACTACTTCGACTGTAAAGCCATGTCCATCGGCGCCCGCTCCCAGTCTGCCCGCACGTACCTAGAGAGACACATGAACACCTTCCTGGACTGTGAGAGCATGCACCCACCCACACACACCCACTGTATTTGTAGTTCTAACAAGTACTATCTACAAATACATACCTGAGGGAACATACATGTCTACTCAGACACTTACTATAAAGTAGATACCGTTTGAGGCTTGTTCACTGTAGCACATCTCTCACACACACATTTCAGCACATGCTCTTTGCATTTATCCCTTTGTCCATTGCATTGTCTATACTCAGGTAATCTGAATGAGCTGGTCAGGCATGGTCTGCTTGGGCTCAGAGAAACACTCCCTGCTGAACAGGACCTCACGACTAAGGTAAGCTGCTATGGCTCAACCAACTTGTCATTGCCCTTTTTCCCAACTGTACAGGGCTGTGTTCATTAGGTCACGCAACAGAACATGTTTTGCAACATTAAAATGAGCATTTCTTAGTCCAGTTAGTCCTTCCCTGTTTTAGTCTGTTTTCTTCTGTTTGGTGCCTAATGAACACGACCCAGGCCTTTACTGAGTAGCGCTCCCTGCCTTTCAGAATGTCTCCATCGGCATTGTGGGGAAAGACATGGAGTTCACCATCTACGACGATGATGACGTGGCTCCTTTCCTCGTGGGTCTAGAGGAGAGGCCACAGAGAAAGGTAGGAGTCGGCTTGGAGTTAACAATGGATGTCATTAAGGAAAGTGGTTGGATTAATGCTAGCCTGGATCCACACTGAAACAGAACAATTCGTTTGGAATCCAGGGTAGTATAATGCACCCTCAAATATATTTGTATATGTAAATATAATATTAGAGAATGGTTAACAAACATGACATCACAAATTTCAGATCACAAAATTGGCTGTTGAACACATCAACGTTGGAATTGCACATTATCATTGAACGGTAGCCAATCAAGATTGTGTGATGTGGGCCACTGCTAACCTGTCCTTCTGTCTGTCCTTCAGGTTGTCCAGGCTGCAGATGAGCCTGCAGCAGACAAACCTGATGAGCCAATGGATATCTGAGACTTGGAGGACGCAGAATGATTACACACTTGTCACACTGCAGTTGCCAGAAACCAAATCCAACACAGCACCGCTCTCACTGAACTACAATTGGGCAATTCTGTACTGTGACAATATGCCACTCATTGAAAACAAGTGAATTGTATGCTTTCTGCTAATAACATTGGATGTTGCTTTTCTATTGGTAGAATGTTCAATTCTATAAGTAATAAAACCTTGTTTCTCATTTGGTGGCAATGTGTTTTTTGTTTGACACATACTTGAGACAAGGTTGTTGTCAAACCATAATTTTATTTCAGTGAGATATTCCACAGCAGTGACTACTTTTTTAAACATTGGCATACAGGTTCATCAATAGTGTATAAAAGTGAGTTTTTTTCCTTCACCATAACTAGTGGTCTAGTGTTGCATTATAGACATGAAGTAAGCAGGAAAGAAATCTTAGTAGAAATGACGTGGCAACATGCTGTTGACAAGGTCGTGACCTTGGGACTATAAGGTTCTATCTGCGCAAAGCATAGTTCTGAGATACTGATCAAAGTTTTCACATCCCAGATCTCAGAACTGTTTTGTAGTAAATCCTTCTTTCATTACGCATTATAGTCCTCACCTTAAAAGGTAACGAGTGCAGAGCATCAAAATCCTGAGACATTTGTTTTAAAAAAAATTGAGGGGTGCCATTGTAGCTAGGTTCTGACACTTCTGAATTAGACATGTTCAGTCTTAAGACAACTGTAGCTATTTGAATACATAAATGATAGAATAACACTTTTACCAAGATAGTGAGAACCCATGATCAGACAAATTTCTGTCATCACTGAACAACGATGTGACAACATAATTTACTTTAAGATTTCTGACAGTGTTGTTTTTTTACTTGCGTGCCATTACTGCTGGCTAGACTAGCCTAGACCATACATAGAGATGGCAAAGACATGTCCTGATTGGTCTGTCTCTTTGTTCAGGCTTGTGATTGGATTGCTGAAAGAACCTTCTAGCACCAAGTCCAAATGGGTTTATACAGGTAGAACTTTCTAGTTTTTCATTTTCTTCACTTAAAAATGTCAAAAAAATAACTTTACAGACATGTAGAACCATCTAAAGATCAATTATATGTGACAAACTCATTTTTGACAAAAATGTCAGATTGAGCCAAGGTCTCAAAGTTCTAGATAATTTTCACGTTGATTCTAATGACAGTTTATTGCACTTAAGGACAAAAAGCATCCTCAAGTCCAGATGTGATTCACGACTGTGACAGTAGGAGCACAATGCAATTCCAATCAGTCAGTTTACTGTAAGCACATTGTGTCAAAGGTATTATGCGATGGTGGACTCCTTAACCAGGCACTGGTACAATACTGTGGGTATGACTTCTGCTTCAGACTGTCACTTAGCAAGAGAAGAAGGGATACCATCTTTCTCGGGTGGAGCTTTTTGCTCCTCTACTCTGTTACAGACTGGATAACTGCCAGCCTTCATGCTAGGGCCCATCCAGTATTGAAGCCTTCAGAGGCTAGGAATAAATGTTTCTAGACAGACGTAGTCAGACTAAAGTTTGTAGGGCGCACTCCTCTCTCCCAAGTATAGGAAGGAATTTAGGAAAGTCAATAGTGTTTCCTTGTGGTTATTTCTTCTGCTTCTTGTTCCATCTAACGCGAGAACGGCAAGTCAACGTTTCCGTTGACGCTATCCTTTTCCTCTCACTCCAACACGATGGACATCTTTAGTGTGAACTCAAGCTCCTCCCCTTGCTCCTCTGCACCGCCCATCTCATCAGCCACACCCAGCTTGTCATTGGCCCCACCCTTCTCCCGGTCCATTCCTTCTTTCTCTACCTCAGTCCCACCCACATCACACTTAGCCCCACCTTCCTCATTCCCAGTGGCTAAATCAGCAGCTCCCTCCTCATCAGTATTCAAATTAGCCCCTGCCTCAGCTCCACCTTCATCATCCTCAGCAGCACCCACCTCATGGTCAACCACGCCTTCCTTCTGGTCAGCCCCACCCTCCTTCTGGTCAGCCCCACCCTCGTCGGTCGTCTGTGCTGGTTGCCTGGGAATGGTCATATCCACAGAAGGGCTCTTCCCAGCATGGATGGGGATCTTCTGGGAAACGTAATTCAACCGTGGATACATATACAGTACCTAATAACGTTTCCATTTCCATTCATCGTCAGCCATTTTGTAATTAGAGCACATACAGTACAGTATACCTCCATATTGTTGAATGTGGATAACATATTCAGTCCTTAATGATGCCATATAAGCAATAAATGGGCCACGTGGTGTGACTACCATTAAATAAGCACAAATGAAGTGTCCCCAAATAATAATAGGTGTTGTGTGGTGCAGAAAAAGGGCCAGAAAGAGGTTCAATCCCATTATACCTTCCCAGTGTTGGGCCCCCATCTCTGGTGGGGCGACCCCCTCCACCAGGCGGCCCTCCTGCATCACCCGTGTGATCTCTCTCAGCCGGAGAAGCAGTCTCTCCTCTTGGTCGGCACTCACCCCGTCACCCTGCAGAGAGAGCAGCACACCACAGGTCAGGGTCTACCCGTTAGAATTCACTACAGGTACCCCATTCAGTCAATGGGCCTTACAGTTGAAAGTACAAATACAGTAATAGTAACGTAAATACATTGTTCAATCCAGATTGTATTCACTAAAATAAAATTCCAGATTTTGTTTTTCAATCCAATATTTTTGACATTAAAAACCGTGCAAGGTAGGAAAGGTATGACCCGGTTATAAAAAATAAATAAACAAGTTAAACTTTGAATATACTGTATGTTCTTTCATATGCAAAGAGTATGAATGAGAGAAAAACCGAAGGGAGAATAAATGAGAGAGGTTCGAGGAGCAGGCCAGGTAAACAACAAACCTTTTAGAGCTGTAGCTGGCTTTAGACACAATCCTCTCCATCACCATCTCTGTCTCCCTCAGTTTATCCTGCAGCTGAGTCAGCTCAAAATCAGCTACAGAGAAGATGAGAGAGAATGAGGAGAGAGAGAGCAAGGGTGGGTAAATACTGTCCTTTCCAGGCTGGCATTGTCTGAAGTGAAGCGAAACTATTTAGATGTCTTGTTTTCTAAAGAAACTATTTAAAGCAGTACTATAAACTGTTGCTGTTTCTTTGTATATAATTATCAATCTTCTTGAAGAGGAATGATTTAAGAATCGTGAGATTAGATTACAGAATACAAACACTGTTACTCACTGATATTTTTCTTCCGGTTCTCTCCTCTCACCGAGGGTAATCTGGGCTCGGCAGGTACAGCGCTCTTCACCTTTGATGTTATCTTTTGTGAACACAATAGGAATATGATTTAAACCTTGCTATAATGTGTCTTTTGAACATACAACACACAGTTCATAAATGGGCATACGATTTGGACCGTTTCTGTGAGAATAAGACACAATGGACTGTGTGCATGTGTGTCTTCCTCCTAGTATGTGCATGTGTATGCATGTTTGGATGGGCGCCAGTACTCGATTCAAGATTTGTCTTCGATTAATTTTAAAATGCAAACTTTTGCCTTCAGCCCCATTTCACATTAAAAACAGTAACATGCGAGTGTACTCAAAATAATTTTCATGAGAGTACTCAAACACAGACTTTCTTTCAAATGCCCATCCCTATTGCATGTTGTGTGTGTGTACACTATTCCAACCCCACAACATCGCACCTTAAACAGGAGGTAGAGGATGTAAAGGAGGATCCCAAAGCCGTAGATGGGGATGATCTGCCCTGCCAGGTTGGACTTCCCCCCGGTCCCTGCCCCCGGTCCCTGCCCCCGGTCCCTACCCCCGGTCCCTACCCCCGGTCCCTACCCCTGGTCCCCCACCACCCTTAGCCCTGGCGATGGCCTCGGTGTTGTGTGCCCTGGTGGAACCAGCAGCCCTCTGGCCCTGACTGTCCGGAGCCATCTGCCGGTGCACCATGGGAGGAAAGCGTCCTGAACCTGCAACGCAAAGGAAGTAGATGAACCCGACACTGTGATATAATACGCTGGCTACACTGGAGCAACAACTTTATGCCCCCACATTTCTGAAGTACCCTGTTAGGGTGAAGGAGACAGAGGTGGCAAGCATAAGGGCTGTCCAGCATGTCTCCTTTCCGGAGGTGGCGAGATTAAGGGCTATCCAGAATGTCTCCTATCAGGAGGTGGTGAGATCAAGGGTTGTCCAGAACGTCTCCTATCAGGAGGTGGTGAGATTAAGGGCTGTCCAGAACGTCTCCTATCAGGAGGTGGTGAGATTAAGGGCTGTCCAGAATGTTTCCTATCAGGAGGTGGTGAGAAGAGTGGAAGAAAGGAGTGAAGTTGAATTAAATGGTAGTAGGAGTAGACACTGGACTACTAACTCTGCAGTGTTCTAAATCAATAGTTGTTTATTAGTCCGAAAATGTCCGAAACATTAACTTGATTGACTATGCTGTAGGTCATGTTACTGTTTGTTATATGCAATATACTTTGTGGACTCAACCAGACAGATGTTGCTCTCCAGTTTTGTATTGAAACAAAAGGTGTGGTTGAATGTATTCTGCCACAGTCTCTTCTTATTGTCTCGGCCATAGGCCTATATATCAGGGTGGCAAGACATATGAACTATAACAGCAAACAATGCAATCATCACCACACATTTGCTGTGGGGCCCCAGTGCTGATCCTCAACACTGGGGCCCCACAAGGGTGCGTGCTCAGCCCCCTCCTGTACTCCCTGTTCACCCATGACTGCGTGGCCAAGCACGCCTCCAAGTTTGCAGATGACACAACAGTAGTAGGCTTGATTACCAACAATGACGAGACCGCCTACAGGGAGGAGGTGAGGTCTCTGGGAGTGTGGGCCAGGAAAATAACCTCTCACTCAACATCAACAAAACAAAGGAGATGATCGTGGACTTCAGGAAACAGCAGAGGGTGCACCCCCTTTCCACATCGACGGGACCGCAGTGGAGAAGGTGGAAAGCTTCAAGTTCCTTGGCGTACACATCACCGACAAACTGAAATGGTCCACCCACGCAGACAGTGTGGTGAAGAAGGCGCAACAGAGCCTCTTCAACCTCAGGAGGCTGAAGGAATGTGGCTTATCACCTAAAACCCTCACAAACTTTTACAGATGCACAATTGAGAAAAAATCTATACAAGTAAAAGGTAAGCCTACGCACGAACCTATAATAGTTTGCTAGAATAAAGATATGTATTATTTTTAGAGCGTACAACTTACTCTCGGTCTGTGCACCCTTCTTCCCTCCGCCTAGAAGCATTTTCGGAATCAGAAGAGCAACACAGAGCACCATGCAAGATACGAGCGTAACCATTTGAAATGTTGACATCGACATTGTTAAATCCGCAAGGTTGCTTTTGCAGAGAAATGTCCCAAAAACCTACAAGATTACACAAACTCAAAACAGAAGAGGGTCAGGTGGATGCTGTGTGTCTCCTCAGTGTAATATTTGTTATAGTGGATGTACCTCTCCAGAAGATGGCGCCAGATAACCTTTATTTATTTAGACCAAATAGAAAGGCCGTGATTTTTACATTTTTTTTATTTATTTTTTTACATTTTACATTTCAGTCATTTAGCAGACGCATTTTTCTACTGGCCCCCCGTGGGAATCGAACCCACAACCCTGGCGTTGCAAGCGCCATGATCTACCAATTGAGCTACAGGAGGCACTACGTCACCCCTTTGTAAGAAATAGACACATATGGTAAAGTAGTTTTTTTTTTTTTACGTTATACCTGCTATAATGACTAACTCTGTGTGATAGATTACATATTGGTAATACCTGGAGAAAGGCCTATACAGGTTAATTGGATCTGTTCACCATGTGCAATAAAGACTTGGTTTGGCCTTTCATCAATTAGATTTGCTCACCTCCAGCGCTCTCTCACCTCTTTTAGAAAAAGGTCAAAGTTAATTGAGGACAGTCGGTGAAGAGAGTGAACATGGATGGAAATTCGCTTGCTTGAAATGACAGTCATTCTCCACTCGCATGTCATTAGGCAAATGACATTTACAGGGGTGGATCCCAAAATAAATGTGTAAAGTGATCAAAACAAATGAAGTTAGTTGTGCATGACATTCTATAGATAGAACAATACGTTGCATATTGTTTTTAAACATGTGCATGTTTTTCTCCTCTGACAAAACAAAAGCTGATTCAAAGGGGGGTGGCAGGTTTAAAAAAAAAAAAAGGTGGCTATCGAGGAGAGGAGGGCACTCTTCCGTTTGCCTACTAAAGAATTGACACACTTCTCAATCACGTATTGGTTTCCGGGTCAAGGATGAGAGAGGGCAGGAGAATGGTCTTTTATCCAAACGAGAATCTGCCTTGATGTCAGGAATGTGCACCATCAGGCCAGCCACTCCCTCACTATGTAGTCTGGATATCAGCCCAGCATACATTGCCCCATAACATTCATTATTATATCAACTGTATACATTTACCATGTAGATACGAAGAAACCACTGTCTGTGAAGCTTCAGGGAAACTAACCCTCCTTATTCACTGGACTGTCTGTTCATTGAGGACAGTTCATTACCAGACAGCCCTTTTCCTTATTTTGTCTACAACACATTTTGATGATGTCATTGTAAAAGAGGGACCTTGTAGCAGTCGTAAGGGCATGAAGCCAGCAGAAGGCAAGGCAGGTCGACGTGCTCAGAGTGTAGATTTATTTACAGGTCTTGGTGATCCAATGGTGAAAGCACCATATCATATAAAATATACAAGTTGATTGACCAAATATACACGGGCAATTGCCCAAAAGAAATAGCCTCTGTATCAGGCTTAAAGACATGCTCTGGTACTTTGGCGACTAGTAAGTATTTTTTTTAACCTCCCGCTTTGCGCTGGATGTGTCAATGTGTAGTTCATACATGCATAATCTATGAGCAAAATTACTGTTTTACCTAAATTACCCATTAAATCCCTAGTTTGAAAGAGACTGTTTTCTGGAAGCTGTGTTTCGCCATTTTCCCTACATTTTCCCCCATGCCCTCTAGCAGTTCGAGTTTTAGCCAATGTGCTTCAGCCCCTTGGCATTTGAGTGACAACTAGCAATGATGTGGTGCACATGTCTGCATATATGTGATGTAGTACATCATTTTCGGGTACCACTTTTGGCTCGTGGGTACTACTTTCAGAACAACTGGCTAAAAAGTATACAAAAGTACCGGAGGATCCCTTTAACCTGTCCTATTTAAATGGACACAGGTAGAGGGCAAAACTGCACACCTCTCCTTGAGAAACCAAATCTAATCTGTCTACTATAAGAGATTGGCCCCTCCCATGCACCTGTGTAATGATAATGCTGTTTAATCAGCTTCTTAATATGCCACACCTGTCAGGTGGATGGATTATCTTGGCAAAGGAGAAATGCTCACTAACAGGGATATAAACAGATTTGTTCACAACATTTTAGAGAAATAAGCTTTTTTGTGCATATGGACAATTTCTGGGATCTTTTATTTCAGCTCATGAAACACGGGACCAACACTTTACATGTTGCGTTTATATTTTTGTTCAGTATAGTACGATCCTGGACTAATAATGTTCTGTACCATGTCATGTTTCATGTGGACCCCAGAAAGAGTAGCTGCTGCGGCTTTTGCAGCGGCTAATTGGGATCCTAATAGATAACAACACCTATGCTAGTAATGGTTTGATACTATTGCTGGTGAGCTTGCAAAGTAAACAGTTAATATTCTTGATCCCCTACATGTATTTATTATGGCAACCTCTGTCCCTGCAATTTGACGTTTGAGCTGCAGCTGATCCACCCGACCTGTGTTGGTTGACAGTTTGCTGGTCCAATCAGAGGGCAGAGTGTGCGTTCCAATAGCTAATCTGTTGCACGTTGTTTTTGCGAGGACGATGCTGCGGCTGCTGTTTTCTGGCTGGGTGGAGAGTAGGCTAAGTATGGAGACTGTGCCCCAAAATGAGTGACAAAACGTTACAAAACCTGGCCAGTAAATTTCAAGTCATCTGTCTCAAGTCCCGAGTCTTGAGGCGCCAAATCATCTCAAGTTATTTTGTTTTCTGTCGAGTCTCAAGTCATCAAATTTGTGTCCAAGTCATGTGACTCGAGTCCACAACTGATTGGTTATAGTTGGTGGTTCCAGCGGGGAAGAGGCGAAGTGAGAGGCCCAATTTGGGCAAAGATCTGTGGCGAGTAGCATAGCATCTCTCTCCATTGAATAAAGGCGGTTGACGTCAACAACCCTGGTATGAAAAGGAAATATCTGAGCCAGTACAGTATGGGGAGGGTCACTATTGTGAAAAGGGTATCACCTCAGACTGCTCACTGCCCCTCAAACGAGAGAGGCTTTGAAAGAGGAGCACAGGTGTATCCAGCTTCAGCAATGTGCCATTTCAAAAAGGGTCCCAGGGGCTTGGATCATCAAGGTGTGGGTAGCCTGTAGCCTTGTTAGTGTATTCACACACACTAATGGCCTGGATCATGAATTAGAAAATGTCAGTCCTCTTATATACTGCTGCTATAGGTATTTAGTGCGAGTGGTGAATACATGAGTGCTCAAATAAAATGTTTCAGTCTGTTTATTGAAAGTCAAAAGCTGTGCAAACATAAGTCTGTTCATAAATTAAACTTAAAAACGTATATCTTCAGAGATACAGAATGTTAGTTATTACCCTTTATTAAAAAGTATGTACATCAGAACTCAATACCAGCAATACCAGTGGACCTGCCTATTGTGATTGAGGCAGCTTGCCCCACTACAAACGTGCTGTTTGTGAGTAGAGTGCTGTGACTTTCACCTTAGCCATGATTAAAGGTGAACTACGCAGAAATCGCTCCGCCATTTCCTGGTTGATACAATTCTAAAACAGTCAGCCTAATTTCAGTTAGTGACAAATCAAGCAAGTATAGTGTAGAGAAATCATTGTACCATCTAAACTGCTGTGAACAACCAAATATATTGTATTTTCAGCTGTTTGAAGCTTGTGTACAAAACTGAAAGTAAAAGATGCAAAAACAAAACTTAAGCATGGGAAGCATAGAAATAGTGCACATTGAACAGATCTACCGCTTCTTAGAATCACTTTCAAGGCAAAGATGACAGATCTATAACGCACATTTCTATGTGAATTTGGTCAGGTTCCCCCAAAAGTTACATATTGCATCTTTAATAATAGAGTCCAAACATATTGCTTTGAACTTTTTACTATTTATTTATTTATTTTTGCACTGCAATGCTCATTGGTTCTCCTTCCTCGTTTCACAGTCAATGAGAGCAATATCCCATGCACAAGGCCGCTTCATTCGCTAATAACTCTGTGGTGAGAGTATGTACCATCAAGGTAAGCAAGCAGGGCAGAAGTTGCTGAGCATCGGGAACTGGACGCATCATCCTGCACTGTCCACCACCAAGTCAGCAGTTAGCAAACACCGTGGCAAACCGTTTTGCAACATAAAGAGTTTCTTATTGAAAAAGTTAAGGTACACTGTGTGGCCAAAAGTATGTGGACACTTATTCATCGAACATCTCATTCCAAAATCATGGGCATTAATATGGAGTTGGTCCCCCCTTTGCTCCTATAACAGACTCCACTCTTCTGGGAAGACTTTCCACTAGATGTTGGAACATTACTGCGGGGACTTGCTTCCATTCAGCCACAAGAGCCTGTTGGGCGATTAGGCCTGGCTCGCAGTCGGCGTTCCAATGCAGCCCAAAGCTGTTAGATGGGGTTGAGGTCAGGGCTCTGTGCAGGCCAGTCAAGTTCTTCCACACCGATCTCAACAAACCATTTCTGTATGGACCTCGCTTTGTCATGCTGAAACAGCAAAGGGCCTTCCCCAAACTGTTGCCACAAAGTTGGAAGCACAGAATCGTCTAGAATGTCATAGCAGGGCAGAAATTTGACAAACTGACTTGTTGGAAAGGTGGTATCCTATGACGGTGCCACGTTGAAAGTCACTGAGCTCTACGGGCCATTCTAATGCAAAATGTTTGTTTATGGAGATTATATTGCGGTGTGCTTGATTTTATACACCCGTCAGCAACGGGTGTGGCTGAAATAGCCGAATCCACTAATTTGAAGGGGTGTCCACATACTTTGGGCCATGTATTGTAGGTCCCATTTTCTTCCATTTGGTTCCTAGTGAATACACCCCTGATGTGATGAGAAGAGGACTGTCCAGGGGATACCAGTGGGGACTAGTGTCCAGTGGAGTTAGCTAGTCTCTGACCAGCAGAGAGCAGTAGAGACTACAGAACCTGCCTCTCAGAGTTTCCATTCTGATGCCCCCCCTCGTAGTCCAGCTGGCACAGTATCATGTTGTTCTTCAGGAAAAACTTGTCGCCCACACAAAATCTGCAAAGACACACACACAAATGAGTGCCTTCATTTAAGGCCAATGAAACTTCCCTAGTCCTTAAAAGCAGTAGTCATTGGGTAAAGGAAATGAATAGCCGACATAGTTAAATGCAGCATTCCATACAGTATGAAGGCCTAGTGCCACGTTGTGGGAAAGTCAGTTGCACAATTGAATGCATTCAACCGAAATGTGTCTTCCACATTTAACCCAACCCCTCTGAAGCAGAGGTGCGGGGGAGGCTGCCTTAAATCAACGTCCGGCGAGCAGTTGTTGTTGGGGGTTAACTGCCTCGCTCAAGGGCAGAACTGCCTTGCTCCACCTTGCCAGCACAGGGATTCAAACCAGCAACCTTTTGGTTACTGGCCCAATGCTCTTAACCGCTAGGCTACCTACTGCACCATGTACAGTACCTCATAATGACAGGCTAAATTAGGGCTCAAAACAACGTTTGACCTTGTTCCAGAGAGTTATGACAGCATCTTAAAGCATTCATACATTTTGATTGTTTGGTATTTGCTTTATGCCCAAACTCTTAGATGGTTGTTTGCGCCGTTTTGTCTGACGCTCACGCCACCTCAAACACTCAGAAAGAGGCCGTCACTTTTAAGTCCCCCTTTTAGGTTAAACGTTTTCCAAAAGCACCAGGCAGTCAAACAGATACTCAACATGTATGTTGTTACTAACATAAACAAGCTGTTTACGGGATCTATCATAATTATTTTCCTTTCAGGGTCACTTGATGCCTGCTTTCAAGGCATACACAGTATGTGGAGATATGTGGCGTGAACTTGGGGTGCATTCATTAGGCACCAAACAGAAGAAAACAGAATGAAACTGGGAGGGAGTACTTGGACTTGTCCAATTAAGAAATGCACATTGTTTTCCATTGCAAAACGTTAAAAAAAATGTGTGCCCTAATGAACATAGCCCTGAGGCTCCCCTCATCTCACCTCTGGCTGCAGAGCTGGCAGGCGAAGCAGTCCAAGTGGTAGACATTCTCCTTGGCTCTCATCACCATCTCAAAGGCCGGGATCACTTTACTGCAGGCTGCACAGTTCCCAGTCACCCCAAAGAGCCTGGAGGTGGAGAGAGAGAGCGGCAATGATGTGGGTTGTCTTCATTTGGAAACAAACTTGCGTTTCTTATTGGACAAGTGCAGATACTATCTCTTCTTTTCACTCCGTTTGACTGTTTTCTTACGTTACGCGCCAACTGAAGACGACTCAGGTAGCCGACTGCTTTGATAATACGTTAAGTCCTAGTTAACGTATTATTTTATTCATACGTTAAAAAAAAGTAGCATAGGGTGAAATCTGCAGTGGTGGAAGGCAGCCTTGAGAACAACCACATCCATGGGTTGGAGTGGGCAGTCCCTCATAGGATCTACACAGAGCTGCATCAGAATGTCAAGTCTCAGGTCTCACAAGACATGATAGTGCCATAGACCAGCGGCAAACAAGAGACTAAAAGCAAGCAGGCCTAATGAAGCCTAACCAAGGCAATGCTAATGAGGTCTTGGTATGCACCTGGTGTTTCTCCTTAACAAGGGTATGGGCCTCAATGCTAATTCTCCACTAATGGTCCAATTAAAATAAATCACATGGTTTTAATCCCGGCCTTCAAAGGCTTTCTGCCTGATCGTCGTGATGACGAGGAAAACAGGAGGCAATTTAACTGTCAAACTGGTTTTCCCCCTCTAAAAGCAATGCAGCTAATGAGAGACTTAGCTTCAACCAAATCCAGCTGGATCTTACACATGAGACTTGCACTTGAGTTGAATGACTGGTATTGGGCTAAATATATTCGCAGGGTTTCTATAACAGCAACCCTAGAATAGTCCTGAGGGTTTTGTGTGTGTTGATGTATATGAAGAGCTTATTTCCAAAATGTGATATTCACCAATTTTTCACATTTGTCTTTTTCCCCCCCCATCATTGATTATGGGTACCTTCATGTGTGTAAAATATTACTATTCTTAGATGTTTCATTCATAGAGTTTAGATGTATGAAAAGTATACTTTTTTTAGCAAAACACTATATTGTTTAGCTGGAATGGAATGTTCGTATCCTGTATATTTGACTGTGATATGTGGTTGTTGCACCTAGCCATCTTAAGATGAATGCACTTACTGCAAGTCGCTCTGGATAAGTGCATATGCTAAATGAATAATGTAAAAGTTTCACATACAGATCTCATATTACTGTATTGAAACTTTTTTTATATATTGACGTCACAATGTGTTCTCATTTGTACATTTCTTTATTATAAATGTTATTTGTTGCATTTGACTGTAAAACTTAGCAGTGCTAATTATTTATCTGAGAGTGAGGTGGATATATAGCATTTTGCAAAAAAAACATTTGTCTCTCTGAAATGAAACCATCAAGTAATAGATTTTAAACAAATACATATCTTTCATTGAACAACCCCATGCCATGATTCAATTGTGAAAAAATAATAATTTCTGTAAAACAAAAGCCAATTTACCAACATTTATGAAAATGGGTATATAGCGTTTTGGAATGAAACTTCATATGCCATAATGATTCATTTCCAGGTCTGTCACTATAGTTGTATTAATATTTGTGCTCCTCAAACACTGATCTATATTTTATCTGCTAACCAAAACATGGAGATGCTGTTATTTTTGCCTGGCCTGTCCCATTCACCTAGCTGAGGTCATTTGCCTTATATAATCCTAAATAATCAGATCGGTTTAAGCAACATGGCAATAGTTCAATCAATTGGAAGTCTAGGTTGAGACAACACCATATTGCTTACACCCATCCCTACAAACACAGAGGAGTGGAGGCTAGATTAGAGAGGCACAAGGGGTCGTGTTCATTAGAGTACCCAATGTTTAAAAACATTTTGCAATGGAAAACGAAAATGAGCATTTCATATTGGCAAAGTTCATATAGTCCCTCCCTGTTTCAGTCCGTTTTCTTCCATGTGGTGCCTAATGAACACAGCCCTGGTTTGAGAGTCCTTACCTCAGGTAGTCCTTGTGACAGAGGATGAGGTTGGCTCTGGTGTATAGGGTGGAGCCCACGTCACCTAGGCGACAGTCACAGCAGGCACACTTCAGACAGTCCTCATGCCAGTACCTGTCCAGAGCCTCGAGCATAAAGCGGTCCATGATCCTCCGGTTGCACCCGGCGCAGACCCTCGGCTTCCCTTTGGACTGGAGAGGCACAAGGGAGACACCTACAGACAGATAGATGCGGAGTTCAGATATATTTGGATGTAGGCTACAGTACAGCTATCCCTAACCCAGTTACATGACCAAGGAATATTGTCACTCGTTCCAAAATTACCTTTGGCTACGGTAACTTCATATGGTTATCACAGGACTATCATTATCTCTAGGTCATGTCTAAATCATATTTTGGTCCTAAACATTCTGACTTCAGAGCCTGTTATGAATGGGACCCTTTCAGATGCTATATGGCCCGACTGATACTGTTTTTAACCCAATAATTTCAATATGAATTAACATTAAAAATAACTGATTTAGTGAGTTTGTGGTGGAAAAAGTTGTCTATAGCCCTTTAATCCAGTCCCAATGACCAATGAGACGTGGCATTTGCCCTTGCTGCATCCCAAAAGCCTTCAGATTGTAAATTCATATCACATAGGCTACATTCCTTATTAGGCCTATATGTCAGTGACACAAACGGACAAGGAAATACAAGTCTGTGAATCGTAGACCGATCGTTCGAGAATTAGTTGCTTAAATGTAGACATAATCAAATAAGGCACTTACTTTCCTCCTTGTCAAACACCATCGTCCAGAATGGGATTCGACTTGGAGAAACCTTCGCACTGCTTCGACAACCTCTCCAATGTCCCCCTCGACGATACGACGCAAACCTCGCCGGTCGACGCAAATGGACTTGGATTCTCTTGAAGGTGATCTTAATCAAACCTTCCAGCTCCGCTAGTAGGAATAGAACGCTTAAAGCGATGTCAAATCTGTCCAGGCATGATTATATCCATTAACCTTTTCATGTTGGCACATTGGGCTGTAAGTAGAAAGTAGCTTATGGCATGTGAAAAATACGCAAAATAGTCCTTGGATATCAGTGGCCCTCCTTGTCCCGCTCTATCTAACAAAAGTGTCAGGTTCTACTTCAATAGCTCTGGTGTTGCCACAGCACTTGAATCCATTATACATAAAAGCATCGGATCAAGCGTTTCAAAGTAGTCTACGGTCGACACACACGGCTTTCTGCCTCTCTAGCTGTGCCAATGCTCTGTAAAATGTGCACGGCTCTCATAGACCGACGTGTCCCCGCGCGTGCTAATTATATAAAGTCATTATGCTCCGATCTGATTAGTGGCCCCTCCCCCTCTTTGAATCAATTATTCAATACACACTCTGCCTGTGCCTAAGTATTTTTTTTTTGTATAAGCTTATTCAAGGACACCAATTACCCTAAGGGCGCTTCTCTCATTACTGTAATTTGAACAGGACACAAATGCATTGCCCATTGGGAAGTAAGTGTGTGTGTCTGATAGCTACTCACAAGCTTTTAAGCAAAACTCCATTAAGCAAAGATTTTCACTTCATGTCTTTGCTTTGAAACCCCGCTCACCAGTTTAAACTTGCTTTACAAGATTCATAATTCAGCATTGAGATCCTTCAACCGACCTCTATCGCCTATCTGTTCGCCTTTTCACAAGTTAGACTTAATTTATCAAACAAATTAGACTTGATTTATGTATACAACTCAAATCCACCGCCAAACAGGGTCTTATTCATTAGGACACACCATAGCAAAATGTTTTGCAACACAAAATGAAAATTAGCCTTTCTTATTGGACAAGTTCAGGTAGTTCAGTGTCCATAGTTGGTGCCTTATGAACACGACCCAGATAAATACCACTCATTAGGAATGAATGAGGCATGAAAAATAGTCTTGACTCCTCCTGACATTCCTCTAAATTAACACACACCAATTACCCAGACCATTGATGGTATGCGCTGCCTTTCATCTGGGGCCGTGTATCACACGTCTCAGAGTAGGGGTGCTGATCTGGGATCAGTTCCAACCTGTCTATGTAATCTTATTCATTAGGATCTAAGGCTGCGTTTACACAGGTATCGCAATTCTGATCTTTTTTTCACTAATTGGTCTTCAGACCAATCAGATCAACTCTTTGGCCAATAATTGGGCAAAAGATCAGAATTGGACTGCCTGTGTAAACGGCCAGTGCTATCTGGGTTCCTTGGGACGTCCAACTCTGACATCATCCCATTGCAAGAGGACTCCTGATATCTCCAGTGATAAGTATAATTTTGCAGGTGATTGTTGACACAACAACTAGGATTAAGGGGCAGGGCAATTTGTGACTGTTGTTGTTTTGGTAATCAGTGGCTGTATTGGAGGGGGAGGGGTTTCACCTCTCTTAGACAATCAGCAATTAGTACCAGGAGGTGTGCTCTTCACCTCTGCAAGGCAATTAGCAATTAGTGTTAGTACTTCAGTCTCCCCGGTTTTCTCAGTGGCGGCCGTGTCAGCCGAAACATAGACAGGTCTGCAGAGTCGGTCGGAAGGAAAGGGCGAGAGGAAGGCTTAGTTATTTTCAGAAACTTTTTTGCTCTTTTGTAGCTTTGTCAACTATGTGTGTTTTCCATACCTGTTCGCTCCTCTCCCTGTAGGCTTTACAGACGCTCCCCACCCCTTGGCTGCAACCCTTCTTATTTAGTGTACCCTGCGTGCACAACCCATGTGGAATTCCAGGTCCGGCAGCGTTTGGAACTGTCGCTCTGCGGTCAAGAAGTTCATCTCAGCCTATGCTGCCCTTCAGTCCCTAGACATTTTTGCCCTGACGGAGACATTGATCACCCCAGACAACACTGCTACTCCAGCTGCTCTCTCCATCTGACTACGTGTTTGCTCATAGTCCGAGAACATCTGGTCGTCGCGGTGGTGGCACGGGGCTACTCATTTCTCCTAAGTGGAGACTTTCTCTTTCTCCCTCACTCACCTGTCCATCTTATCTGAATTCTATGCTGTCACTTGTCCACTCAAGCTTAACATTGTTGTCGTCTATTGCCCACCAGGTGCTCTTAGTTTGTCAATGAGCTTGTCGCCTTGATAAGCTAATTTTCCTGATGATGGCTCATCGTCAACCTCCCGACGTCTGCCTTCGATTAATTTCTTTCCACCTCTTTCTTCCTTGCCTCTTTTGACCTCACCCTTTCCCAGTCCCCTCCCACTCACAAGGCAGGCAATACGCTTGACCTCATCTTTACTAGACGCTGCATACCTACTAATCCCACTGCAACCTCCCTCCAGGTCTCTGATCACTACTTTGTTTCCTTTTCTGTCTCTCTTTCCTCCAACCCTACCCACTCAGCCCCTACCCAGATGGTCATGTGCTGTCGCAATCTTCACTCTCTCCTCTTCTATCCTCTCTCCCGTCTGCTATATCCTTCTCCCTCCGGTCTCTCTTCGACTCTACTCACCTCCCTTTCCGCATCCTATGACTTGCACTGTCCCCTTTCCTTCTGGCCGGCTCGGCCCTCCCCTCCTGCTCTGTGGGTGGGTGAGTGACTCATTGCGAGCTTACAGAACATGGCTGTGGGCAGCTGAATGAAATTGAGGAAACTAAACTTCTGGAGGACCTATCATCCTTTCACTCCCTCCACTCTACCTTCTCTTTCTCTGTATCTGCTGCTAAAGCCACTTTCTATCGCTCTAAATTTCTAACCCTAGGAAACTCTTTTCCACCTTCTCCCTCCTTAATCCTCATCCCTCTCTGCAGACAACTTTGTCAACCACTGAAAAGAAGGTTGACTACATTTGTTCCTCATTCACTCAGCTTATTGAGTCCACTGGTCCCACTCACACAGAACTACGCTACACCTTGACCTTTTTCTCTCCAGATGAAATCCTCAGACTAGTGAGGTCCGACAACCCCGCTCAACCCCATCCCACTCCTCCCTTCTTCAGACAATCACTGGAGACCTTCTCCCATTCCTTATGTAGTGGAAAGCCTTCCCAGAAGAGTGAAGGCTGTTATAGCAGCGACGGGGGGTACTATCTCCATATTATTGGCCATGATTTTGGAATGAGATGTTCAACTCCATACTTTTGGCCATGTAGTGTATGTTAAATATCGGTCCGGGCGTTGTACGATCTGGCATGTCTGCAATGCAGTCGGGCAGGAACTCGACCCATGCCTCTAGTTGACAGCGCAGATGAGATGGCTGGGTTTCAAATAGTATTTGAAATCTTTCAAATGCCACCTGTGCTTGATTGGGCTGGCACAATGGAACCAATGGAATTGACCCAAATGTGAAAACCCTGCCCATCTGTCACCCCAGGCATACTCAGGAAAACCCTCAAGTATTTGAAAGATGTCAAATACAATTTGATCCCAGGTCTGATGGGTTGATATGAGTTGTCAAAGGAGAAGAAAGGATCAAATCCTTATTTTGACATATCAATACTAATGTTCTGAATACAGTGTTGGTTATGGTTTGTCTATTCATAGAGCCACTGTGCAGGACTATTAGGCTAATTGTACTAATGGGTCGCCCCTTACATAAGAGATGTGTGTGGGTGGCTGTGGTTAGTGCCGTCATTAACTGTCAGCTCAAGAACCTTTTTTTTGCTGTTATTTTTGCCATCTGCTCCTAAAGTGCTGTCAATGGCAGGATCACACAGTCAGATATTTTTAATGAAGGGAACCTAGGTTGGATACTGACTGTAATTAAAGTGGACACCCTAGTTTATACCATACGTACGCATTGAAGAACTAAAAGAAGCTAAACAAAATACTGTTGCGTAGCAACTACGCAGACGTGTGCAGCCCCGCAATTCATAACTCAACACGAATGCAGGATCGCCATTTTGCGTGTAGTGTTCTTGCAGTGCATACGTAGGCCTAGGGTATAAAATAGTAACTATCTACAACAGGGAAATGATTTTTAATGGATATGTAACATTCGTTACATAAATAACTATTCCTTTCAGCCCATATGTGTCATCCTATGAAGTGCAACCTATGTTACACACTCATTATTCCTCATTTTATTAGGTTATATTTGCCCTAACTAATGTTGAGGTGGTCCTGAAGCTCATCTGTTCGACTGTACACTTAGGGACTGCAGCGGTTTTATATCAGAGGAGATAGCCTACCTCCCATTACTTTTCTGTGGGGAAAAACTAACTACATCCACAAATGTTCCAGTTCTAAGGGAGGTTAAGCGATAGGGAGGATCCAATCTCCTGCCTATTCAACTGAACAGAGTTTGAGATTGGGGATGAGATGTGGTCAGCGACTGTGACATGAGAGTGGGCTAATCGATGGCCTTTCTGATTGGCTCCCTTATAACATCCCAGCAGTTCCCCTGGGTTGGCTGCTCGTCCTCTCTCCCCAAGTCAATTCCCCTCCACACAGGAGCCAAATAAGATCAGTGACTGTCCACAGTCCCTCTGTCACCATCCAGCTCCTCTTCTCAGCCTGGAGAACAGACAGAGAGGTAAAGGGGGGAAGAGACGGTGAGGGATGAACTGAGATTGAAGGAAGGAAAAGAGAGACTGTGTATGAAAGTCAATAGACGAAATTACAAAATCTTGAAGCTGAAGCCATGAGGGCAGGTTTTCATTGAGCTTGTCAAAATTACCAAGCACCTTGTTCAATCAAACCTGGTTTACCAGGTGCCGGTTCATAAACCATATTGTTCTTGGAATCGGATGAAGAAAACTCAACAAAACAACATTTACAATGTGAAACAAAAAGAAACCCAGCACAATTATAACCCGCTGCAGGG